TAAATGGAATAATAAAAGATTAAATATCGACTGTAGCAATCGTGCTACAGTTCTCCGGGGCCCGTTGCTTCACTTCGTGATGATTCAGGGCTCGATGATGGCGCCGCCGGAGTTCTGGTCAAGGGGAATAATAGTTCGGATGTCGCGCGCCTTCACCACAAGATGTCCTCGATCGGTGGTACGCACGTCCATGGTCCGGGGCACTCCGTCCGGTGAGGGGTGGAGGCGTGTGATGATGCCTAAAGGCCAGGTGTGTCGTGGGGTAGACCTGTTGACCAGGATGACGACGTCGCCTTCCTTGTAGTCGTAGGTCGGTCCTCCTTTGGGTGGGTTCTGATGGAGCGACCTCAATTGCTCGAGGTGTTTAATCTGCCAGGCCTGCCAAACTGCATTCACGTGGCGCTGCGTCTTGATGTAGTTGTCGACCAGGTCACCCCTGGTTACTTGGGCGCCTGTGGTACTGCCGATGTGAGGCAGTACAGTCAAGGAGCGGCCAGTGAAGAAGTGGGCAGGCGTGATGAACTCTCCATTGTAGGTGAAGAGAGGTCGGCTGTTCATGCGAGCCTCGATCTCGGTGAGAGCGAGTCGCAGCTCGTCAGGCGTCACGGGTCGTCCGAAAGTCAGTGATTCGAGGGACTCCTTGATGTCCCGAATGCGGCGCTCGTAGAAACCTCCCCTCCAGGGCGAGTGAGCCGTCTGGAGGGGCCACACGAAACGCAGCTCCAGCGAGGGGTTCAGCTCGCGTAGTTCTTTGAGCATGGTCGTCATCTGCTTTCTCAGCTTCAGTAGCTGAGATCCGTTGTCGCTGTAGATGAGCGACGGCACTCCCCGCCTGGCCATGAAGTTGCGCAGCGCGCTGTAGACCTGGTCGGCGGAGAGGTCGTGCATCAGTTCAATGTGCACAGCTCTGGTAGTGGTGCAGACCACAATCAGGCCGTACTTCTTCCCTTTGGTGGTAGTGTTTGCTTTGATCGGGCCAAACAAGTCGATTCCAACATTGGTGAAAGCAGGTTCTCGGTCGTTCAGTCTGAACGACGGCAGTGGGCCGAGGATCGGTTCCTCGGGCTGTGCGCGCAAAGTCACACAGATTTTGCATCTGCGGATCACACTGCGCACCAGGTTACGGCAGTTGATGATGAAGTAGCGTTCTCGCACTCCGCTGTGCGTCCGCTCAACGCCAGGATGCATCAGCCGCTGGTGGTTGAACTCGACCACCCGTCGTGACAAAACGCAGCTCCTCGGCAGGATGAACGGGTAGCGCTGGTCGTAGGTCATGTTGATGCTCCTTTCGAGCCGGGTCCGGTGACGAATGAGTCCGTCCTCGTCTATGAAGCATGGGAAATTTCTTAGGACACTCGAAGGGTTGGTGATCCTCTTGAGTCGTTTCAGTGAGTCGATGTCCTCGGCGAAGTGAGACAGCTGGCAGAGCCGAATCATCATCTGCAGAGCGACCTGGTCCTCGTGGACGTTGTCGAAGTGCGTGGAGCCGCACTTCTTGGCGAGGGTCATGATGTACACAGCGAGCCGTCGGTAGACGCTCACCATGTAGCCGTAGTTGTGGAATATTCTGCAGTCGCAGTCAGGCAGCGGGTCTGCGATGGTGGCAAACAACTGCGCCACGACTGGCTGGGTGAACTTGTTGCTGATGTTGATGTCTGGCCCGTGCAGCCAGTCTTTGTTGGCGATCAGTTCAGTCACCGTGCACCCGCGAGAGAGCACATCGGCGATGTTATTCTCAGTGGACACGTGGTGGTAGGTCGCATTGATGATCGACTTCAGGTTTGATAGTCGGATGGCTAACGCCGGCTCTGACTTGTTCGGGTGTTTGGCCAGTCGCTTCAGGTTGATCAGCGAGTCGCTGAGGATCTGTGTGTCGCTAAAAGGGAAAATAGAATTTAGAAAGCGAGCAAGGCGAGCGGCTGTAAACAGAGCCTTCAGCTCGAGCTCGACAATCGTGTCGCTGTTAGTTTTATTTGGGTTGATCTTTGCCAGTTTGGCTCTGGCCATCAGGAAGGTGCTGCGGTCAGCGGTGTAGCAGTAAGCCACTGCACCGTAGGCGGACAGAGAAGCGTCGGCAAAGATGATCAGGTTGTTGGTGCCGCCTGGGTCATCGACGGCGTTTCGAGGGATGGTCAGCTGGTTGACAAGTCGAACGTCTGCCAGCAGGTCAACGAGTTGTTGTTGGTACTCTGGTTCGAACGGCTGGTCCCACTCGTAGCCTTGGGACCACTGGTGACGCTGCTCCATTCGTAGACGCACCACGAAAGGAGCCGCAATGCCGATCAGGTCGTAGATGGACGCCAGCACTGAGGCGAACGTCCGCTTGGTCATGATGGTCGGTAACTGACGTTCATCGATGCCAATGGTCAGTGACAGCGTGTCAGGAGGTAGCTCCCATTTGTGACCGAGCACCTTGCTGCTGGTCGCGTCGTCGGATGCCCAGAGGCGGTTGAGCTCGAGGTCGTTCGAATGCCACTTGGACATTTTCATGTTGGCCTTAGCCATCAGCTCGGTGAACCGCTGACAGAAGGCGTTCAGCTCATCGGTGGATTTTCCGAAAAAGGTCAGCATGGTGTCGTCGACGTACTGTCGGCCGCGGACCACTGGCACCACGTCGCCGAAGTCAGCAGAGTGGCGGTCGTAGTGGGCCTGCAGTACGGCATAGAGAATGAACGGACTGGCGCTGGTCCCGAACGGAACTGACGTCAGGCGGTAGGTGGTGGGTCGGCCTCCTTCGTCGCTCCAGACGAAGCGGAGGGCATCGCGATCGTCCTCATGAACGTCAATCATGAGGAAAGCTTTGGAGATGTCAGACACCACTGCAGTGTCACCGAACCGAAACTGAGTCAATAGTCGGACGGCGTCCCAATCAGTGGCGCCCTTGAACATGCAGTCATTTAACGGGCTCTCCCCGGTGGCGTGGGAAGAGCCGTCGAAGACGACGCGCACGGGCGTGGTCGGTTTGTCAGGTCGGTACACTGCGTGGTGGGGCAGGTAGTACACCCTCTTGGGCGAGTTGGGTTCGACTGGTGGGGCAACCTCCGCGAAGTTGTTGATCAGTTCGCGGATCGCCTTCTCGTACATGTCGAGCAAGCCTCGACTCTTCAGACTTCTCACCAGTCGCACAAAACGTGAGTAGGCGATCTGGTAATTGTCTGCGAGGTCGAAGCCGCTGATCCATGGGAATCCGGCGGTGTACTTGTTGTCCTTGTACTCCAGCTTTTCCTGCTGGTACTTTGCCACGTAGGCCTTCTCTTCCTTGGTTGGTCCGTCACTGAAGGTGGTAGAGAGTGATTGTTGCTGCTGGAGCTGATCATCAGTGGTAAAGAGGAAGTTCAGGTACTGGTCATTGTACTTGGACTCACGTCGGAGGGACTCCACGAGCCCACTCAGCCCGGAGACGGTCCAGCCGAAACCGGTCTCAATCAGGTACAGTCCATTCTGCCATTTCTTAGGCGAGGACAGCACCAGGTCGAGGCATTCTGGTATGCCTATGATCAGTTCAACAGGGTACTGCTGCTGCTCGGTCGAGTCAATGTCGGCGATGCTGTAGCCCTGGCTAGCAAGCTTCGCTTTGACGCTGGGCGAGATTGCTTCGAGCGTCATCGGGTTCAGTTGAGCGACCACATTGCATTGGACAGCAAAGTTGTAGCCGCTGGTCGTGGACTTCATCGCCACAGTCACTCGGCGCTCACTGTTTTGGCCCTGGCCGGTGATCAGTGGCGAGGTGAAATTGATGTTGGCCGGACTTGAGTCGGGCAGGTTCAGTTCGTCAGCTAGACGCTCACTGATCACTGAGCGCCCAGCGGCATCGTCGAGAAGTGCGCGGACTTTCCGCCCGCTGACCTCCACCAAGACCGTTTTGTAGAAGGTCGTTTGGGAAGGCTCCTTCTTAGTCACTTTCTGCCTGTTGCTGACCAAAGCGCTCATGACGGGGACTCCTGAGGGCTGTTGACTGCCGCTCGTGATCGCTGGCGTCTTTGCGCCCGTCTGAGCCGATGGTGGGCAGTTGTTGTTGTTGTTCGGCTTCGGTTTCTGTTGCTGGCTGCTCGGCTGCTGCTGCTGAAAACTGGACTGCAGCGGCTGCTGTGGAGCCTGCGTTTGTTGGTGGGGACTTGGTGGAGACTGCTGGACGATAGGCACCGACTGGTGGGTGCAGATCGCTGAAGCGTGGCGTTGTCCGCAACGGCAGACAAACTTCGATCGGCACACGCTCACACTGTGACCCTTGCGCAGGCAAAGGAAACACAGCCCCAGCTGGCTGGCCTTCATTCGACGTGTGCCGGCGTCGAGCTGGTTACAGAAGATGGTGGCGTGAGAGTCGTTGCAGAAGAGGCACACTGCAGGGGAACGGGTGTTAGTGTTGTTATTTATAATGGTAGAAGAAGAAGTAGTAGTAGTAGGGGGAGAAAGAGAAGAGGTAGTAGTTGAGAAGGGCCCTGGTGGACCGCTGGTTTGAGAAGACACTGGGGTAGTCATTGCATTGACAGACACCCGCTTCGGTTTAGTTTGGATCGTGGTCGGCTTCAGCACTTTGGCTCCTGGCTGGCGTCGAGCGTCGTTCACTTCAGTTTGAAGCTCTACTTCTTCCGCGAAAAGCTTCACAAGCTCCTCGACATCTCTTCCGGCTCGGTTGCCGCGCTTGTAGCGGGCCATCACGTCGCGAGGGAGCTTAGATCCGATCAGGGTGAAAACGGTATCGCCCAGGTAGTTTGGGTCGGTGTTGCAGTCCTTGAGCGACTGGACAGCCTCCTCAAGGACGTTTGACGTGGCACGTAGTTTGAAAGAAGGGGTAGAGGCCCAGTCGACGGCTTCCAGCTTCTTGATCTTCTCCGTAGCGTCCTCCCGTACGAGGACGGGGTCATCGTAGTAGCGCTTAAGGCGCTCTTTGGCTTTTTGCAGCCCACCACTGCTGGGGCGCAGGCTGCTGATGAACTGGTCTCCGTGATGGCCGACCAGATTTTTGAAGGCAACAAACTTCTCGGCGTCAGAATAGCCGCCGTCGCTCTCGATGATGTCCTCGAAGAGCTGCTCAAACTGCTTATAGCGAGCAGGAGAGCCATCAAAGGGTTGGACTGTGCAGATAGCCGGTCGGACCACCACACTGGCCGGAGCCTGGCTGGTGGCCGATGTCTGCACCGTGGGCACACTGCTGGTGCTGTTCTGTTGCTTCTTCAGCAGATCGGAGATCTTGCCGATGAGATTGTAGTACTCGATGGCGTCCTGGGTTGGGCCGATGATGGTAGCTAAATCACCGACCGAGTCTGTCAGGGTGATGCAATCGCTAAGTTCGTACGGCGTGGCCCGCAGGTCGTTCGTGCCGCTGGCCACGATCCCGTAGATCAGTTGGAGTCTGTTCCCGAGGTCGTCCAGCTGCTGCGCAGCTTGCTCCTGCTCCTTGGTCAGGTTCTTTTTAGTCTTCTTTGCCATCTTCATCCGAGGATCTCCTGGCGTTCGCACCAACTATGGGATGTTAGTTCTGGCTTTTGCTCAGGCCGTTGTGCCCGAAGCTG